GGATTTATGTGCATATTTGACATTCTGAAATTCACATCCTATGTTTTCGCAACATCAGTTTATAAAAATTTGTACATACAATGGGAAGATGTGCTCGACTGAGAGGTGGCTTTTCATTCGCGTTTCGTTTCCAAAGCTCGAGAGTTCGGGATTCGAGCTCAAAATGCTCTGCCGGAATCCATTGGGGAATATTTGAAAAAGAATAAACAGCTAAACTAAAGCAAGGTTCTGATGGTGACTAACTACATTAAAAAAGGAGGGAATCTGACTGGTATGATACTACACTGATGTTATATTAATTTAATAGATGCAAGGTCGTGATATTTTACCCACGGACACTTGTTGCATGAACGCAAATACTTAAGCTATGCTTAATATTACCACGTCATGCCTAAGATTAATAGGACCTACCTTATCCACGTTTCCAATCTTATCGTTCATTACGACCGGCTAGAGAATTTATGATTTCTTCTATACGATTTCACGTTTACTTCGCTGCAATTCGTTGCTTCTCTCTCATTTGGTATAAAACTTATTTACCTTTTAAGACTGACTTCGCTACGGTAAAGTGCCCAAAAGGCTGAATGTGATCAATATAACCCGACCCATCTGCCTGAGAAGTACAATGCTACCCTTTGAGATGCCAAAATTAATTATATGAAGTGCAAGGATCCGATTAGCAGATCTGACTGCAAACCTTAACACTGTATGAAGATATGTAACTATACATGAATATATATGTATGTTTCGCATTTGTTTTATGTTATTTTAAGGGTATCCAAACGAGCATTGATTCGATCGTATTGTTTTCGCGCGAAACGAATTTAGTCAATGGATGCAAATATTTTAATGTGTGTATTCCTTTTTTTTTAAGAAAACCAAATTGGTTTCTCGCTAAAACGGTTCAAAATCCTGTTGTTGTTTTTTGATTTTTTTTAAAAAACAAACCAAAAAAATGTTAAACGCACAGTCGCACAATGTATTTATGAAACTATTCAGTTACTCTCGTTAAACCGTTTTTTTAAATTCAATCGATTTTGTGTTAAAGTTTTTAAATAACAAACCGTTAATTTATCGTTTGTACATGAAAGTTTAATGATGAAACGGTTATTTTTTTAATCGTTTTTGCGTTTAAGTTTTTTAAATTTAAAAAAAAATATGAAGTGTTTAAATAACAATATGTAAATACAAATTTTACATAGGTAGCCTTCCGAATTCTGAAGTTTTGAAAATACACAATATATATACGGTACATATGTATACCATCGGTATTTTACAACTGGGAGTATTCTAGTGAGCAGTTTTTAAAAACGTACAAAAGTCCTTCTCACATTTTTGCTATTTAACGTACCGCTGACACTGTTGACTGTTCCTTTGTGTACTATGTATTTCGTACAGCTTTCCAAAGTCTAAATTTATAGTAGCAGGTTATCTATTTATGTTAAAAAACAAAAATATGGAGACTGGAGGCTGGAGCTGGAGATTCGTCGCGTTCTTGATATCTAAATAACATAATTATTTCAACTGTATCTTCGTGATATTTATTAAAATTATTTCAACTGTATGTATCTCGACTTTTTCATGAAGTAATCAAATTGGGTACTCATAATAAGTACAAAGTACGACCATAAAAGAATATACGGTATGAGGTCGCCTCCGAGCTTACGGCCTGATGCGTTGTTCCGTACAAGATGGATAACAAACATCTAACAAAGAAAATTCGAACATACATGGTTTCACTTGCGATTCATCTATTGGCAAATCCCACGAATTAATCTGGACCATTTATTGAATTAAAATAATATAATCGATTGTATGAAATGTTGATAATACCGAATACTAGTGTCGGGTTGTAAATGCTGCCTCTGTGTAATTGACTTGCCTGTGAGAAGTTGACAATGCTACAAATGATCCTTATATCAGATATACTTTTAATAAAGCGGCACAACAGTATTTGTATCCGTACCACACTGCTCTGGTGTCCGTATCGCGTAACCGCGATATCATACATAGCCCCCGTTTCAAAATGGAACAAATAAATATGGCGAAATCATAGCCTCCCAGAGAGAGTCCCATGTCAACATTGCGAAATGTTTTTAGGCGAACCCTACACCCAAGAAAAGTATGTACGTTCAAACCCTGCTGGACTTGCGAATAAACTCTATAAAGTCACAAAAAGTGTATATATTTATAAATAAATAGGGGCGATGCGCAGAGACAAAACAGGGATGATAGCCTTTCTTTTTAGTGCACAGGAATCATTTCATTGATCTCACGGTTCGTTGAACTCTCTACACATAAGAAGATACCCGCATTGTGAACCTGTAGTGTAGCTGACAAGGTGTGCCAATTCGAGACCCTTTTAATACCGTAATTCTAAAGGATTCTACAATACAATGCAAAACGGATATGCGGCACAGAAGATTTCCACTTCCAGTGGACTCCAAGACTTGCAGAGTCTGGAACAGGTATGCTGTCTTGCATTGAGGCTGTGTCAGTGATAATTGTATATTCTTCTTTGTAGCAAGGATATTTCGTTGTGATATACAAGTACAGGCGAGCGGCCTTCGTAGGTTTTTAGATTTCCAACTTGGTCATGAAGGCACTGATATAAGTTAAGACACAAATACACGTCATATCTACAGTTCTATGTCTTGTGTATTCTGGATGTGATCGGGTACATGTGAATTTCATATACATACAATACATGTATGCGCATACACACACATATATGTATATTATATATATATATATATATATTTATATTTATGAGAGTGTGTGTGTATATATATATATATATGTATAGGCATAGGTATATGTATATGTATATGTATATATACATATATATATATATATATATATATATATATATATATGTAATACAATCTATTCCATATACTTATTTGGCATAATGAATCCTTGAAATTAGGAAGTAGTTGGCTTGCTTGAGACAGCGGGTGAGGTTTTCGCCGGATTGTCGAGTCCCGAGCCCGTGGCATTGGACATTAATCGATTGGCCAAGGTGTATATTAAAGCCGTAACGGTATGTGTAATCTCTATGTTTCCAGCTATCAGTTTGCGTGTTCTTCGGCAAGGATACTTGGTTCTTTATTAAGCGCCGTAAGCCGTGAAGGTGTCGTTCAGACATGATGTACGTGGTTTCGATTCGCTTTATGTCTAACTCTTTGCTGAGTAATAGTGTGAACAGTGTATTTGTGACTCAAATGAACGTGGAGTGATCGTGTACCTGTGGTATTTTGATCTGAATGCTTGGTATATGTACTGTGGTCAACCCCTGAGCAATACATTTGTGAGACTATAATATTTAGAACCCGGGGTTGGTATGTGGCACGACTTCAAGCCGCATTTCATGTTGGTCATAATAAGTATATTATGAGATTGATGCAATATCTAGCCGGATGAGGTGATCTAGAGTGTGTCGCTTGTGTTTGGCCGTCGCCAGCTTTTACTTAGTGGAATCGGCGCAACTGTGGCTATTTTAGACAACACGTTTTCGAAGCTGTCGTTCAGTATGCCTCGAATAAATATGGCACTCGGTTAGGTCCGTTAGGTGAGACAAGGCACTCCACTTCTTGTCATTTCAACGCGTATGTCCGCCGCACACCCGCACACCATGCTGACCTACACCTTTACAGTGCGGGGGTAAGAGCACGCTCAGGCTAATAACGTTCAGGTCGATTGAAATAATGTATATATTCATAGGGTTTACTCTTGAAGGTAGTGCAATTGCGTGCGTTCACACAGACGACTGAAGTCAAATCTCATTAATGACTGTATTAATGTACATGCACCAAGGCATGCATATGCCTATCAGTACATAAGCTAGAAGTTACGCACCCATGTTAGTACGTTTACGAATAGGCGAGTAGGTCATCGTATAGGATCGGAGATAAATTAAGGCAGGCACAGAGCTGATAGCACCTACTCATTTGATTTCATCGTTGTCTACAGAACATAGGCAAAGAATTGAACAAGCAGGTGTACAAGCTATCGGGAACTACGGACTACAATCTGAGCTCATACGGGGTCGCAAAAGACCTGGAACATGTCGCCTGGGAAACGGATGTAGTACATGATCTACTGAAGCAGGCGTGTGAGGTATATCAGCAGAGTATGAACCAAATGTCATGTACTAGTCAAGCATATGGTTAGATTGATGTGCATGTGTGGCCTAGAGTGCCGTGAGCTGTGGAATAGTAGTATGCCACGGACTACGAATTGTTATCATTTATTTAAAGGAGCGATACAATGGCCTCCCGCGTTAGTGCTCGTGACGAATCTAATTTGTCTGTACACAACTTACTTACAGATACCATAATTAGTAGCATAGGTGCTATGCTTGATGCGCTTTATCTTGGTACAGGTGCCTCTGTTCGAATTTGATTAAGACCTCGCGGTCCAAGGGCTTTACCAGTAGCGTGGGAAATGGTAGTGGTACATTGAGTTACTACTATTGTCGTAATTGTAGCAAACCGATTTATCGCATGCCCTTTTCTTTTTCTGGGGGATTTGCCAACTGTTGGCTGTTCTGCAGCTGAATGTTCAGGGCTCGAAACTTTGTATTGAATCAGCGCAAGCGGCATCCGATCTTGTGCAGCAATCCATGCAGGATTCGTCGAATTTGGGTATGAAAGTACCTTCACACTTTGTTGTGTAAGTGTACTGAAGTAGGTTTTCAGAGTATCAATCAAATATATGTCGTTGATTCGATAGGCACATGTGTTAATGTATCCTATAGAAGTAATGTAGCCATACATGCGCACAACAGATGAAACTTTTATAAGTACGTTAATGCTATAGATGGAAATATCTCAATAATATATTAATCTTCCTGAATGTGAGACGGTGGTATCTTTGTCATGCATGCTTATACCTTGCCACGTGCATCTCTACCGCACTAAGATTTCAGTTGGATCACATTAGGTTTTAAATGTGATCCTTTTTTTTGTTATTGAGCTGCCCGATGCAAGGCGAGTCAACATTGAAGTGATAAATCTGAAATTTTAGGGTTAATCACTGTTCGCATCTGAATGTTGTTATTCAGCTGATATTATCATCGGATAGGTGTATACTATATCTCTCTATAATCATTCGCACCGAATTTATGCACATGCAGCTGCTGGGCTGAACTTACCCAGTGATGGTTTCGCCGTCGATGTAACGCAACCATTGATTGGAGCAACTCAACCACCGATTGCGGGCACTAATCTTGGGCCGGAGATAAATCAACTCGTACCCGAGGGTTCTCAAGCACTGCCAGAAGGTACTATCCCTGCCAAACACTGTACGGGTGTGCATTGTCCTGTGATGCTGTGTGAGGCTGTTCGAGCGTGCATGGCATATGTTGGTTTTTGTATAGTGTATGTTACTATACACATCGAGTGTAGGTGCTCTGTGCAAGCAGGCTGCATATCAGGGTGCTTGACATCACAAGAGCTTGTGATTTGTACTTAGTGGCACGTTGAGTGTGGGCGAGTCTGTTGTGTATGCTGACGTGCACATATTTAGTGTCGAGCCCTAAACGCTTCTCATGGTCATAAGTCAGTCGGCAAATGTGGAGTGTTTCACTACATTCCTACTTCATTTTCGTCAGTTCTACTCTATCATTACTTGGTGTCATTTGTGCTCAATAGATTTGAATTCGTGAAAATACTACCGAATGCTCTGTCACGTTGCACAGGTGTCGCGGCTGCCATGACTGCTGAATCTGGAATCACGATAATGCCGATGGACGATACTGGGCTGGCTACTATCAAATCTGAGGCGGAGAGCGCAAAACTAGATACAACCACGTAAAATCCACCTAGATTCAGTGTATGCACAGGAATTTGATCCATGCAGATGTGCCCAACAGTCTGTGTATCTTCTCTGGAGGGACTCGCCGGTCCTATTAGTAGCGTACAGGCCCTGCTACAGTAGCGTACCGTACATACAGCCCACAGCCCTGTACTATCTACGTGCGCTGTAGCGGCTGCGAAGTGCACAATATGGTCTCGATACGATTTATTTTTGAGGGTTCTGCTTTCGGGTGTGCAGAAGAGATCGGCGCCAGTCGACCCACTTGTGTGCACGTATATGTCTGTCGCAAGCAAGGGTGGGACGCTGTCAGCTTTAGACTCGTGGTTGAATCTGTTAGTTTTAACACGAAACAGGTTATGATAGGCTATTCATAATCGGATGGCCGGAATGGTACGTTAATGTCCTCCAGCAAGACCAGAAGACTGTTCAAAGAGACGCTGACGCCCAAATAGGACCACTAAGAAGAGCACAAGACCTGCGTGTACATATGGCTGCACACAGCCTCGCGCAGTAGGCAACACCAACCACAACACGCGCGAGTATACGTGTGTAAAACTGTACCTCGTCTCAAGTCGTAGAAAGTCCACGATGCCACAAAGTCTCTTAGCCAAAGGTACAGATGAAACTTCTTGCGCACAGCAAGTTTGCTGAGTATGTATAGTCCGAGCTTTCCTTGGCGCACTTCCGAGCGAAGAAACGTGAATGCGTTTCGGCCCTCGAGGTATGGTGCACAGTGCACCCACACACCGACCGCAAATCTAAGCAACCCTGCACTACTATAATTGGTCTTAATCGAATTTCGGTTTGGCTTATCCCCTCCATACGTTTGGAAACATATTGTGCAAGTCTGATAGTGCATGTAGGCATGGTATCGGATATGAGGATGACGACCCGCCCATACGATAGTAATATTAGATTGTACCAACGATTAGGTGGAGGGCTCACGTCGGATCAAGCACCGCTTTTAATATAAAGCAACAATGTGGGTGTGAGGCAGACTATTCCACTGTTGGATGCGAAGCAGTAGGTGTATATTTCCTTCCTATAGCAGAGTATATGAATATTGAGGATGAGATGAGCCTGATTCGTATTGTAGCATAGAGGAGCTAAACGTTTTACCGGGCATTGTGATATTTTCCAACGCATTGTGGGCTATCATGATCGATTGAGCAACGAGAAACGGCAACACACGTGCACTATTGTTCTAAATTCGGTTGAGGCCGGATGAACAGCTCTGCCTCGATTGCGATAACAACCGAATAAAGTGATGTATGTTATACGAAACTTGTGTGTGGTGTGTCCGTAGAGATTGCCACGGCACAAATCAGTAAGGAACACATAGCGTCACAACAATGTGATGTGCGAAATAGGTGCAATGAAAGCGCCATACGATTTCAACTCAAAAGAGTATTGGCTCACGCGCACATGCTAGTGTGAATTTCAGTTGTGTGTTGGTCTCATGAATAAGTTTTTATCTCGTGAGTTAGTGGGCTTGAATGTTAGTGGACTTGAATATGCTGATGTCTAATACGCATTGAGCATAATATAATTGAGAATTGTATTTAGCTGTGGTATAAAATAATTGAGTATTGCATCTGTAGTACGCATGTATATAGTTGTTACATATGGTCGTATGCCTATCCAGAGATTGATACCATGCTATGCCAAGAAACTTGTAAGACAAACTGATCAGGGAGTTCATCACGTCGCTGCAGAGCCTATTGCGCCATTTACTGACGATAAAAGTAGAAGAGTTAGATATGATCTAACACTTACACCTGACTCGCGGTGGCACGATGATCGGGCAAGAACCAACTCAGAAATAAATAGCAAAGGTATCGTTTATTATTCGATACCTTGAAGTAGGGCCTACCAGTGCCACGGACCGCCGTCAAATAAGACTTGCTACAAATTTTACAGATGTTGCAAACTGACGTATGGCGCACAAAGCCAGAGGTTTTGTCCTTTTATTCGATGGAGAAACAATGGCGAACGGACGATATGATGAGAGAAACTGTGGAGCTCTATATTTTTTACCGTATGCGTACAACACTTCATTGGGCTGTAATTGATTCGAATATCTGCGTCACACCTCTGTATACACCATATTTTTATACTGAACCAAACAACAATATTGTAGAGTACGCAATCTTCAACCCTCGTTTCCAAACCTTTACGCTTAAGTACATGTGCCAATTCTCGCCAACAGTGGTTTCACAACATCTCATCCATCGGAGACTGTTTTTTCCTCGTTCAACTAAGAATTTAAACTCAAACTCAGTAAGGAAATCACTCTACGGTCACACATTTCATTCTCTTCCCAAATACAATTTTGAAATCCAAAGCCAAATGAAAAGTGGAAAAGTTCCGAATCGGGTTTAATTCCCTGTGCTCGATGGTATGTGTCTCTTTATTGTTATTCGTGGACAACAACGTTTTAAACGTTGATCTCAGCAGATCCGTCGAGTTCTTTAGCGTACCTTTCTAACGCTGGGGTCACTTCCTGTTGCATGAAGTTCGTCACCTGTTTGGGAGCCCGTCCGACAAAGGTATGCGGATCCATGAGGTTGTCAATCTGGGAGTGAATGGGAGCAAAATACTCTGATTTCCTGATACGCTCAATCAGATCGTTGCTGCCTCCCTCCATCTTGACCACTTTGCCAGCCTCGTGTGATAGGACTCGGATATGTTCGTGGCACTCCTGTAATAAAATTTGAGGCGTTTGTTTAGTCAGTTACCGGCGCTCATACAAGTGCCATTGGCACAGAAAGCAGTCATAGATATGTAACATGTACATCCGCAGCACTGGAGGTGCGTGGGATCTGTTCAGCGGTAAACCCTAGTACAACTACACGGATCACACAATACCCGTGCGAGTCTTAATTAAAACAAACATACCTGGCGATCTCCTCCAGCCTTTACCATAGCCATGATGAAGTTCTCGGTGGCCATGAAGGGAAGTTCGTCATTGATTCGTCGTTGGATGACCTAGCAGAGTACCGAAATTTGCAATAAGGACTACTACTGACTAGAAATTTACAATTAGGAATACTACTGACTATGATTTGCAATTAGGACTACTATTGACCAGAAATCTGCAATTAGGATTACCGCTGACCATGATTTGCAATTAGGCTATTGACCAGAAATTTGCAATTATGACTACTACTGACCATGATTTGCAATTAGGACTACTACTGACCAAAAATTTGCAAATAGGACTACTTCTGACCATGATCTGCAATTAGAACTACTGCTGACCATGATTTACAATTAGGACTACTACAAGCCATGATTCGCAACACAGACTGTGCAAAAATTGCGTGAAACCGAAAATTATAGAACTTGGACAACAATCAAACGTTCCAAAGGAGCCCATCTTGCCACCTTGTCAAGGACTAATATAGAGCAGTTCGGTACCAACCACATACCTTGGGGTACACTACTAGACCTTCCGTGACGTTCTGGAATGTATTTAAGACGATATCTGCTGTTAGGAATCCCTCGGGCAGTGACACACGTCTGATCGCAGAGTCGTCGAGCGTTCGCTCGAGCCATTGTACGGAGTGGGTGGAAGACCCATCTGCTGCCTGCAATAGTGAGCGTATAGGGGTTCATAAGAAATAAATGCTATTGTGTGCAGTGGCAGTGTATTAGGGTATACGATTCAAGCAGATGCGAGTAATAGATTCAGTCCAAATATATAGAGAGACATGCTTACAGTATGTACGAAAAGCGGTTTTAAGTATATCATCAATACGATCACAAAAGCGCGCATGACTAACAGATCGCATACTGCGGCACAACAGAAACGAATCTCAAGCCACCCAGACCACGATGGACGCAGTCGTACACAATAAACCCGGTGCAACAACAAGCAACCCCAGATAAAAACCATACCAGCGCCATCAGATGTCTAGACAACGAGCAGATGCGTTCACAGCGCATGGGGTTACGCTTGTACGCCATGGCACTGCTACCAATCTGGTTCTTCTCGAACGGCTCCTCGATCTCCTTCAGCGACGCAAGCAGGCGCAGATCAGTGGCAGCCTTATGCGCGGTAGACCCAAGCCCAGCTAAGCACGCGAGCACGTCATAGTCGAGCTTACGCGTGTATGTCTGTCCGGTAACAAGGTATCTGCGGTCAAAGCCGGCCATCTTGGTAACCAGCTTATCTAATTCTTCAACCTTGTCATCGTCGTTGTTGAACAGCTGCAGGAAACTGGCCTGTGTTCCGGTCGTGCCCTTGACACCGCGGAATCGGATCTGTGTGCGCAGATGCTCGAGGTGTTCCAAGTCGAGCATGAAGTCTTGAATCCACAGGCATGCGCGCTTGCCTACCGTGGTCAATTGAGCGGCCTGCGCGGGATTGTAAGAAGGAATTGATTGCTGAGTACTTGTACGCCAAACTGTACGTTGTTCGTTGACGCGTGGCGAGTGTATGGTTATGGCCTCGTCGGAAATCCAGGATAGCCCCAAAACTGCTTGGTTTACATCTGAACATATGCCAGGATACTCACATCACGCAGCTCACACGTACTATAACAAACGTAAGTGCGATTGCACGTTTTGGTATACTAATTCAAAACTCCGACGCATACCGCACGTCGTTCTCGACATCACTTAAGCCACAAATAGTACCTGAAAGTGGGTGAACCCAAGGGTTGGCAAATCCTTGTACTCCACCGCGAACTTGCTCAGTCGGTCGATAACCCGGGCCAACTTAGGAATAATGATATCGATCGCATCGCGGATGATCATCAAATCCGCGTTGTCACCAACATAGCACGACGTAGCGCCCAAGTGAATGATAGGTGCGGCAAGTGGGGCGGCAATTCCAAAGGTGTGGACGTGTGCCATCACATCGTGTCTGCGTTCCTTCTCCTCAATTGCGGCACGCTCGTAGTCGATGGGGAGAAGATTGGCTTCCATCTGTGCAATCTGCTCGTCGGTAATTTCAAGCCCGAGTTGTTGCTCTGCCTGGGGTGACAATTGTATGTAGAGATAACATGTTTAGGATGAATTTGTATTGAAATGAGACTCGATACATACTCAGCAATAAGAACAATCGGGTAAGCTAACTACTACCACAATCCCGTCACACAATTTTGATGGCAACCGCTGGTGTTATGCCATATTGCTAGAATATGAAAGAAATGGCTAATTAAACTATACAAACTCGATAGTGCATCTACCACACACAGAGATACACATCCACACATACACGTGGGTAGTATATGATGAATCTCCAGACTAAAATATCAGTAGACACTCGGAACATCGACGTAGATACTTGCTTAATCAATAACCAATCACAGAAAATTATAGATCAATGTGCCAGAACTCAGTTCGTTAACCAGATGTGTGCATGCGCATACGATATATTTATATAGACAAGTAAAGTCACGTCATTATAATATAACTCGCCACTTCTGAATGCAGACGAAATTGAATTGGACTGTACCTTTGCGAGGAAAGTCCACAGAACACGCCATGTGGAGAACTTCTTGTCGTTTGAGAAGCAATGAGACATCTCTTTGCTCGCATAGCGGCTGGTCAAGGGGCTCTGATACTTATCCATGATGACAATGTCGAGTACAACTCCACCGTTATTGCAATAAGCGCTAATATTTACGTTGTAGCCGAGGATCTATGTATATATATATATATACTAAAATCTTTCACTTTATCTGATGCCACATCACATGGATGGACTCGGTATTTGTTGCCTACAGCCCTACACTGGCTAGTCCATTTATTTACAATATTTATTTTTATTTAGATTTAGAAATCGATGATTATCGATAGCTAAATTTAGATGTCATCCCGCGTCAAGGTCACAGACCAAATGACAGATGCGTAAAATCTTAATACTTATGGTTGTCCGACAAGGCCGATTAAATCAGAGTCTTCTAAATGAAACAAGGCTATGATTAAATAGAATCCTGTGCATTCCCTCCTCTATCCCTGCACACAGCTTGACAGCAAGGCCGACCAGACTAAGCCATGAGAAACCAGATGCTCGAATCACAGTAATTGTTCCTGTGTTCGAGCATGTGATAACAAGCGACCGCTCTGTAAAGCGTGTATCGAAGCATACGGACGTTTAAACCTCTGGGAGTGTCAAGGTAAGCAGTACACACGCGGCGAATCCCATACTGACGCTTAATACAGTTTGTTGTTTCCCAGCATGCTCCAGGGATGTCGGAATCAGTTCATTAACGGACATATGTATCATAACGCCAGCAACTGCATTTGATGAAAGAAGACAATGTAAATTGATTAATCAAGACAAGAAGACTTTCGGATACCAGAGCCACGCATAATAATATGCATAGCAAATGATTTATACCTGACTTTCTACATACTTCATTACAAAGAAAGCATAACTCAGCAACATATAGAAGTATGAACAAACAACACACGGAAGCACAAGACTTTCATATACCAGAGCCACGCATAATAATGAGCATAGCAAATGATTTATACCTGACTTTCTACATACTTCATTACAAAGAAAGCATAACTCAGCAACGTATGGAAGTACGAATAAACAACACTCGGAAGCACAGGACTTTCAGATACCAGAGCCTCACATAATAATGTACATAGCAAATGATTTATACCTGACTTTCTACATACTTCATTACAAAGAAAGCATAACCCAGCAACGTATGGAAGTACGAATAAACAACACACGGAAGTACAGGACTTTCAGATACCAGAGCCACACATAACGATGTGCATAGCAAATGGTGTATACCTGACTTTCTACATACTTCATTACAAAGAAAGTATAACCCAGCAACGTATGGAAGCACGAACAAACAACACACGGAAGCACAAACTAACAACATACCTGAGGCGAGTAGGGCATGCAGTCTCGTAGTGGTGATATAGGGTTCAAGGAAAAAGCCGGCCGTGAGCGCTCCCAGCGGCTCAAACATTCCGGCTATGCATGTCACCATTAGTGTATAACGGACACTGCGTGTGCTTTTGTAGAGCGGAGCCGCAACCTACTGCAAATCGATACACAGCGAGAACCATGTAGGTAAAGATTTCCAGGTATTAGAACTGCCCTAGGTAGTTTCGAGGTTGCAAGGTAGGCCGACTAGGACATCTACGAACACCTGTGAAGGCCTTGGTTCCTGAACGCATGGTAGGTGGGTCAAACCGTCACCTTAAACTGGCTATTGCAAAGCACCAGGTCAAAATATTTAATTGAGCTTTACACATACCGCAATACCCTCCGGAATGTTGTGAAGGGCGATGGCTAGCGCGAATATCGCACCGAATTGCGGGTTTTGCATAGTAGATAAGAACACGGCAAGCCCTTCTAAATTCGCAAAGGAAGGGACACCGATATTGTCAATCTCGTGCATGGACACATGTGTGCGTGAGGTAGACTTTCACAAGGTCAGTCAAAAGATTTGACACCCCACAGGGCGTATATAATCACAAACTGATGATACACAGCCATACATACCGAGAACACCATGGACAAGCATACTTGAGCTTGCCAGAAAATGTAAAGTACCTAGATCAGCTATAAGAATCCGCACTTATTGCGCAAACGTATGCGTCGCAGTGGCCACCGTCATTGTTTGCATCAAGTCTGTCTATTAATTCTAGTACAAATGCAACCTCGTGAAATTCGATCCTTTCCATAATTACTTGCCACGAAATGAGGCTACCATGCACACAAATGCCCCTGTGAATGCGCACTCTTCGATATGTCCATATAGCACACACATCACTAGTCTCGTACTTGGTAAAGCCATACATACGCAATCTACAGTCTTTCACGTCACACATACAAGAGCAATACATACATCATGTTTGACCCAGACGTGCTGCAGCTTTCCTGTCCATGTCCGAAGCATAATCCAGACACAGGACTGTTTACAAACACTAGTAGAACTCAACGTAGAAGTCAAACAGGAGCTGAATCACAAACACGTACCAGGAGCATTATGGAGACTCATGGCAATGAACGATACCATGCCGACACGAAAGAACTTCCTGTCCTCGTCCCGGCCATCATGAAACAGCACATTCTGCACTCCATCTCCGTCGTCCGCGGGTAAACACCGAGATATAGTATGCATTAGAAGCATACCCATGACTGTGCACACACAGGCTATCGGGAAACCTGGTTCAACAACATTGCCAACAGTCAGCACTACGATGGGTGATTCACTAGGCCCGATATTTCGGAGGAAGAATTGTGTAAAGCGTGGGGCTTGAGTCGATTATCAACGCATCTAGTAAATTAATTACAAAGTGTCTTAAACTATTGCAATGAGAGCACCGAATCGATTGGAGATGGAAGTGCTCAAGCCAACCAGCCTTGTGCTGATAGTCACGGGGGTATAGCCGCAAGCAAGTACTTTATTCGCAACATACCCCATCTAGCTATATCGGGACATAACCGTACGAGGACAAGATGAGCGAATCGAGTCAGAAATTGGGGTACACAATTTCGGTATACATGTAATACGTTGGAATACAACTCGACTCGATATGCACAATATGTGCTTCCCGATCTTCATGTGATCTTCGTGACGGTAAGATTAGGTAAAACTTGAGCACAAGGAAAGCATACAAAGACTAAAGGACCTCGAAGTTAGGGCGAGCGTACCAAGCGCAACCAGATATTGATCAAGTTTCAGAACTATGGTATGAAACATACGCGGAAGCTTATATGTCCACTGTTATCCTCGCAACCGGTACATACCGATCACCTCCGCCGAAGGTAGCAGCAGTTCATGAAATGACAAGGTCAGCATGATACCTGCTGCAAACGACTGCATAGAGCCCACACTCGATGCTGAGGGGACTTTCATGCACACCAGAATGCCGCCAAGACTGCAGTAGTGACGAAGGAAAAAATGAATTTTTAAACCTGCTATTGCATGCGAGTATGGCTGTCGTTGACAAATCATACTGTGGTGGAATGAACAGGCAAAGCCCGAAACGTAGAGTGTACTCACGTGCTAAACAATATAGAAATTGAGAAAATCATACAATGACAGCAGATCCAAGCATGGGCGCATATATCAACGTATAAGTACATATATA